ATCTTCAAATAGAGCTTAATCTTGATGGGATAATTTTGAGCAGAGGAAAGCCCAGAAACATCCATAGTATAAAACTAAAACTCGTTTCTGTTTTTAAACATTACACACTAGTTGCGAGCGAGATACAACTATGGAGTACACGTTTAATCCATCAGGGAGTTCTCAGCAGTTTAAAATTAGAACGTTCAGGTTCTTCAACGACTATAACGTTGTTTACTTCCACTGCGAGTTGTTGGCTTGTTACAGATACACTTCTAATTCCAGGTATGTCTATAGTCAACCCTCCCTGTTACACCGAGGGAGCAATACTTAATCTGCGCACACCGAATTGAATGATATTCTTATTCCACTCTTGCTTTTTATTGCAATGCAATTAAATTACAATGTCACCTGAAATGTTCTTGCTGTATTCAGCATATCTTAAAGCTCATAAGCATGGTACCCAGGTAACTACATTTGCAAGACCCTTAATACCTACAAGTAAAATGGTAATCGAAATAACATATTAGGTTGAAAAGACTGGGGATCTCCACTCTTTATCATAGTTTCACAACGGTTGCTTCAGTCCTACATGTCTTGCCGCAAGTGAGATTTGCACCATATCTGAAATGCTAACGGCTCTGGTGATCTAAAATCTGGATACTGTCCATTTAACAATTACTCCACGAGTGCGCCTTAGACATGAGATGGTAGATGGCCAACAAGCGCGAGTAGAACAATTGTTCTGTTTATTAAAACATCCTCAAAATATCGAGAATTCTTCCCTACATTATTTGTAAAACCCACCGATTTTCAGCTTGTTTTTACTTTTGAGCAGACGCGTTAAGTTACCATATTTGGAGAGCATGGTATAATGGCTCGTATACAGCTATTTCTAGAAAGGTTGTCGCAAAAACTGTGCACGCGACAATCCCGAAAGGTAATATGGGATATGATCAATACACTTGTTCCTGACACTGTCGCTGTCGAACCTTCTTTTGTTACTTTCCTTTAGCACTCGCAAACATACGTCCATGGCCTCTTGTGCCATTTTTTGAAATTTGTTTGAAAAACAGTGAACTGAAAACCGCCCACAATACCTTTCGGGATTGTCGCGTGCACTTTTTCCGACAACCTTTCTCGAACTAGCTGTGTATACCATGATGGCCAAGCCAATCGGAGCTCCAGAATTGCATTATCCAATGATTCAGTTTTTAATAATTTGCATTATCCCCGGCCCAGTATCCTATTTTTTCCGACAACCTTTCTCGAACTAGCTATGTATACCATGATGGCCAAGCCAATCGGAGCTCCAGAATTGCATTATCCAATGATTCAGTTTTTAATAATTTGCATTATCCCCGGCCCAGTATCCTATTATCCCAAAAAAAAACCGTCTTACGACTAAAAAAATCGAATTTGGGGGGTGAATGGGCTAAACTCCAAACTAAAGTATAGAATAGCTCAAATGTCGATTTTATTCGGAAGACTCCAGGAAATCCTGGAGAGTTGGCACAATATGAAAGCGGTTGAACAAAGGCAAAGTGAGACACTTTGTAAGCCAAAGGTTTTGTTTACAAATGCAGCCGGGGTTGTTTAAGTAGCAAAAGGAGAAAGAAACGAGACGCAGTTGAGGAGGAGAGTACAAGCAGACATATTCTCTCCAGCGGCCCAATTATCATCAAGACTAAGAAGGAGACGAAGATAGAAAAACGTGACGCAGGAGGTAGGCCGCACAGACAACTGAGGGCGTGTTCGATGGACCGTATCCCGGACTAAGAATGAATGGAATAGACTCTAGAAATCACTTGTTTTGGCTTTCATTGCATTCTTAATTAAATAGGCTTTGATAGATTGTGCTCGCAAAAGTAACTGTGCTCGTATATTTTAAAATTATGCCAATAATTATTCTAGTTTTTGTGAATTATGCACCTTTTTGCAAAGTATGCCGAAGTTATGCTTCTTTTTTTTTTACTTTTAATTTGCTAAAAATACCCTAATAACTATGCAACAAACAAGTAAATGGTAAACACATTTACTTTATTTACATCCAGAAATATTATGAGTTGCACAACTCATTCTCTGAAAACTATTAAAACTCCCAAACCAGTCCTAGGGGAGTTAAACACTTTTCTGTTTTGTCGCAAGAATTTGCACAATTGCTGGCCAATTTAGTGAATACATGCACACTCCATATCCGTCTGTCACTTATAATAGCTTTCCCTTCTCTTTCTTATTACCTTTAGCCTTGTCTAACTATGGAGGTTTATTTTTTTCCTTTGTGATAGATACTGGGAAAAGCCAACAAACTGCTTTGACTGGTGGTGCAGCGGCCGTGGGGGGACTGGCCCTGATTGCTATCATAGCCTTGGCTGTTTTAGCTGTTAAATACCGCCTTGCCCGAAGATTCATGTACAGGAACAAGGTCGGAGCCTTGTACACTACCCAAGATGAACAGATGAGTCGAAGAAATGCCTTCATCCAAGAGGACGACATGATCGAAAAGGAAGACTCCTTTTAAATTGAATCCTTACGTTGAACACTTATCTCGTAGCCAGGGTTATTAGTTGAGCACGCATGCGCACTTATAACTTTTACAACGCTTTGAAGTGTCTTTTTTAACAATAAGTGCTGTAATAGTCGATGTAACTGATTTCTTTGATTGTTTCCACGTAATATGGGAAACCCCAGCGCCTATGCACGCTAGTTTCCTTAGTACATCAACCTAATTATACCTTCTTCCTGAATACGACCAAGAAAGGGAGCAGAGCTAAGTGTCCTCAAATTACGCCGACACATCCTAATAAGAGAGACAGAAGTTTTAAGAAGGTCACTAGATTTAGTATGTAGACATATACACACGAAGTGATCTCAACAGAATTAGAAAGGAAACCATTGAAAAAACGATCAGTTTGATTGACGAGTTAATTCATGCAAAAAAGTAGCCGTGATCAGTAGATGCGCAAACGTGAGATCTTTACAGTATTTTCAAACATGGCAAATCATAGCCTATAATTAAAACGGTTTTGATCTGTAAGCTTTAGCATCAATGGTTTAAAAGAACACGTCCACAAATAAAATTACAACCCCTTGTGAGTAGAGCTTTGTTTGCTTCTATAGACTCACCGTGAATGGGTAAGTTGTTGTTGTTGTTTTTTTCTTTCTTCCGCTTCTTGAAAATGCTGTAAACAGCGGCTACTATCGAGGAGAGCGTTGCTTATCTGTAATGTCCTTTGCCTTGTTAACTTTCTGGCACGTACAATTTTCGAAAATGTTTTCTGTCCTTTTTTCCCATAAATTGACTTCTATTTCTATGCAAATTTCGTCTTTCGAGGTAATCCCGTGTTCACAAAATAGTAACAAAACGGCCTCAGTCTTCTCTGTAGTGGTAAACATCTCGTCCAGCTTTTCAAAAACTCATTAATAATCCATGAGCTCAACAACCTATCACGTCTGCTAAAATCCGTCACGTGCTCGTGTTTTAAACCCCGGTAAAACACTGTCAAACTGAAAAGCCTGGGGGCGGCATTTGATTTCAGTCTCAGGGGAGTGCCGGGCTGATTGCATTTTGCTTCATTGATATTCTCTACTTAAACATTTCATCCTCATTAGTATTCTTCATATAAAAAATACTAATAAGGATGACATTCTATTTCATTGCACGTGACCTATGAATATTAATTATCAGCACAGCAACTGACACAACAAATGGTGGGTGAATATTTAATGTTCTTTCAAAATAACACATGCAATAAATTTACTATTGCAAAAAATTAAACTTTGTTCTTTCACCATTTTAATCAGCCAAAAGTTCAGTGACACAGCGGTAATATTGCTATAGCAGTGCCCAAGTGTTGCACTCAAGACTTGCCAGTTGTGAATACCCAAGGCTCGAGTACTGGATTTTTGTTTATTTGTATACCTACCGTTCGGCCATGCCATAAAAATTTTTTTCAAAGCATACTTTTTCAGTGGAATAGTTGACTTTGGAGTACCAGTTTCAATTAACTTCCTCTCTTCCTCGACATTTTTAGGCTTCTGAAAAGCTCTGGAACGAGACACTATGTCCTCTTCGGTTAGTGTCGTTTGTAGACTGGAAAATTTCGAAACACGTGTGAGATTTGATTTTCTTACATAATAATTTCATACGTAATGTTTTTTTCATATGCTAATTTCCAAAGTTCACAAAAGCATCATTGTTATCAACTGAGTTGAGACACGCATCTCCAGGAATGTTTTCGAAGCCGTTCAATAAACGAGCGGGTCGGGTTTTATCGGGGTATAAAGCCACTCGGCTTCACCTCGTGGTCATTAAGGGAACCCACGCTCTTATTTGTAAACTGCAAATGGAAATTAGATAAGAGATAAAATCTTACCTGTTTTGTTTTATTCTTGAATGTGCCGTGGTGCGAAGTGAAATGGAAGTTGTTTTACGATGCGAAACCTATGTTCTGTATGCAATTTCTACGTTACGCCATGTCTACTTCTACGTTGTCACTAAAGTTCTTCCTATATTCAGGGTAGCACAGTGCACAAAGCGAACAGAGAGATCAGAGAATGCGTCAAGTGGTCGCTTACAAGAGGTTACTGAAACAAAAGAAAATCAAAAAGCTTTCAGGCACAAAAAGTGCTCTCGGACGCTTACAGGAGGTGGTCGTTTATAAATCCAACTGTAAGGCTTTAATTGGGAAAGTTTCGGTGTTTTGGATAGGTGGTCGCTTATGGAAGGTGGTCGCTTACGAGAGGTGGTTGCATATGGATGTTCGACTGTATACTAAAATTGTTTAATTTACTTGTCTAAATGTGAGTGTCAACAATATGCTTTAAGTTCTGATATCTTTACTTGTTTCTTCAAATAACATTGGTCAGTTCCTTGGCAGTTTTTTATCCCCGATATTCTTCAAAACGAAGTATTCGACATCAAATGTTTTAGACTGTTCTGGATTGTTTTATTATACAAAAATAAAATAGGCCAAGGAACCTTAATGATTTTTTTGTCCTTTAAACCTTATTAAATTCCACACATGGAAAAATATTTTCATGTTGATCACGCACGGAGGACTTGCGTTACGGCGTACGCAAAATCACGTGATTTCTAAGAAAAACAAATCCCATGTTTTTCAGTGAAAACGAAGTGTTGTCGTGTTAGAATGCTGTCTCCAAATAAATCTTTCAGCGAAGACAACTTGGAGCAAGTCATTGACATGCAGCACTATAATCCTTTGATACATCAGTAGTTTTGAGTGTCAAGGATTCAAGTTCTAATACCACCACCGACGGACTACGATCGAGGCAAATCCTAAAGTGTTTCAAGCTCTTATGCAAGAGAACGTGAGAAAATGGCAACCTCCTGGGAGAAGAGCCGAGATATATGGTCCAGCAACTATTCGAGAGGCCCAAATTGAATTGTCTGAAGTTCTTAGCTGACTACACTTTAACACAGCAGCATCGTGGCTGGTACGAAGCATCAGCAACAGGCCGCCATCTTCAAAACAGATGGAAGACCGATCTTGCGGGAAGAAGAGTTTTAAGACGACGAAAGTCTGATTAAAGTGCCATATTTTTCTTCTTTTTCTGTTTTCCCGTCGAATGCTTTTCAAAAAAACCACAAACCTGTCACGATACAGTAAAAACCCGCATATGAGAACTTAGGCCTGTTTCAAACGTCATGCTACTGCCGTGCTAAGCTGGCTCGACTGTAGCTCGACTGCAGCACGACATTAGCACGACTTGTTTTTGTTTTCAGACGTCGAATTGAATTCACACAATGACAGTCGAATGGAACGGCTGTTGCCAAAAACAAAACACAAAAATGAAGAAACGGTTTAGCAAACTTCTAAATATATTCTAATGTATTTATAATTCATGAATTGAGTTCGTCAAGGCGGTAGCACGACGTTTGAAACCAATTGAACCCCATTTACACGCGCTAAAAAAATCGGCACAGCACGCCAAATTTTTGGTACCGTGCCTCGTTTAAGCCTGGTTTCCATTCGTTTCAAAATATTTCGAGACGATCCGGACGACTGGGGCGATTGGTAGTTTTCATATGATCGTCTCGATCGCATCAAAGGCAACGAAGGGACGCGGGGTCGTCAGCGATGTCTCTTGGTCAGACAATAGAATTTTTACGCGTGTTTTGAAAACAAGCCACATAAATGGATGGTGTTTATTCGTGAATCGAACCTCGTACCTTGGTATCTGCTTTTTCTCTTGATTTTGCGACATTGAGAAGCTAGAAGAGTTCCCCGAAGACATAGTATCTTTTCGAAAACTTGATGTCACGGACTTTCTCTAATTTCAAATAACTCCCATACGCGCTGCGAACATTTGTGTATTATTTTTACGGCTTCAGCGCCATCCGGGCTGAATTTATTCTCGATTACAGGAATAAAAGTGATGACTTCTGGGATAGCCTTCGATCGTCCCGATCGTCTCAGTCGTCTGAGAGCGTTTCCATATGATCGCTTCAAAATTTACATGATCGTCCCGATCGTCCGGATAGAACTCAACTCTATCCAAGCGATTAAGGTCGTCTCAGTCGTGCGGGTCGTTTGCGATCGTCTGGGTAGCGTTTCCACATGATCGTTCCGATCGTCTGAAAATTTTTTGAGACGACTGGGACGATCGGGACGATCCGGACGATCCGGACGATCATATGGAAACCAGGCTTTACCTGTGCCGAGACTACCTCCGGGAAGTAGTCTCGGCACCCCTAAAATTTTGAGCACTGGTGTCACATTACATTTGGGACCGATACGTTTACACGTCGAAAATTGGGAGTGTCGTGCCTTAAAATCGTCAGCACGGTGCCAAACATTTGGCGTGCCGTGCCGATTTTTTAGCGCGTGTAAATGAGGTTCAAGTCGAGCTACTGCCGTGTAGCACGGCAAGGCTTGCCGTGCTACACGGCAGTAGCACGACTTGGTTTCAAACCTCGCGCTACTGCCGTGCTAAAGTCGAATTTAATTCGATCAATTGAGTTCGGCACGGCAGTAGCACGACGTTTGAAACGGGCCTTAGTGATTTAAGAACCTACAGGCTGAAATTTGGCATTTAAATACCCAAAAATATAAAAACCTGTTCAGCTTGGCAAATATAAATAGGTTCTTATACAAAAAAAAAATCACTTTAATTTTAATTTGATGGTCAAAATTTTGGATTTTAAATGTGTGGTAATTCTGACGAAAAGTTATTGTGTAACGTTTTCTTGATTTACATTTGTTTGGACTTTCACTAGAAATATTTTTCCATAAAGCTATAGTGCAATATAGACGATTTAAAATCTAAATATCTTATGAAATAAAATATAGAAATGTATTGATGTTCTTCTTGGACCTTGATTGTTTTATTGTCAACCATTATGTATTAGTAGTGGAATATCTCTGTCAATGATTACACTACAGCAACCTCTGAAAAATAAGAACCTATTAAGAACCTATAATCAGCCTGAATTATGAAAAATTACCCTAAAATATAAGAACCTGTTCAGCCTGACCTCGAAAGTTCTAGGTTCTTATA